GTTTTCGTTAATGCATCTCTTTCTGACAGAGACAGATCTAGATTCAGTGGTAGCAGAGATCAATATATCAAAGAAAATACAGAAGTGATCAGATAGGGCTACGTCGTTAACAACAATGGATGAAATTATTTCACAGACGGGCACAAATAATGGCGCAAATACCTATTAGACGAGCGCAAATGTTGCGTGATTCATTTTAATACTCTCCTCCCATTAATTTTGCGTCTGAAGGGAAACTCCTACAAATGCATATTCAATAAGGTCAGGCACAAAAATAATTGTCCACGCCTTTTCATCGCTAATTCTTCACTGCGTGTCTTTAGTAAATCCTGACAGTACTATTTTAACGCCAAAAGACGGTTTGCGCTGGCGCAAGCTGTTAGTAAATCTGGCCCTACATGTAACGTGAGTTACGTAATCAGATTACTTTCCCCAAGTAACTAGTAAAGTAATGCATTGCTTTTAAATGACAAGGAAATGTCTGAGTTACTTTTTCAAATACGTAACACCAGTTACTTTGTTTCTCATGTATTGAGTGACAGCTCTGGTGTTGCCATGGTGACAGAAATCAGGAGTCAGTGCAGAGCGCTGTGTGTGAACATGATGTCTACTAAATGTCAACATGCATTTACTCAAACAGATTGAGTATTCCTCAAAATCAATAAAAACAGTGAAATGCAAAAATATCATGCATACCTGCAATAATTAAATTAGTTAAATAACACAAATGTATTTAATCCAATTTTATTAACCAATGTTGACCGTCAATGACCCACTTCAACCATACCAATAAGCAAAAATAATATGCATTAACTAATTAACTAATATGCATTAATTCATGTTTAACTAATGCACAGATAATCACGAGTTAATATATAACTTATGAAGAACTGAACTATTTATTAATAATTACTGCATCAGCAACAAATGAACATTCTATATGATCCAAAGATTAAGTAATCAATAAATTGTTATTAGTTAACAACAACAATTCCCTAATAACATATTATATTAACTAATAGTGTAAATACGTTGGGTCGACAATGGGTCGAAGCCATGCATTTCAACTTCCAGTTGTCTGCTTTAATTAATCATTAGCTAATGATTTGCAAAGATATCATGTTATGACTTTACTTGTTGAGGCACATGACAAACTAACTAATTCAAAATCCATAACCACAATGACATATTACTTAACAATTAGTTAATAGTTCTGTGCCTCAACAAGTAAAGTTATACATTAACTTGTGATTAACTGTGCATTAGTTAAGCATGAATTAATGCATATTTGTGCACCTGTATCGTAAAGTGTTACCAACTTTCTTCTTTCGTGATTTATTCTTCATGCAATCTATGCAATAATACGTAATAATAAGCATTTTCAAAAACTGGGAAATAATGAGGTGACGTTATTTTACTCACCCTTCAACAATTGATCATGAAAAGGACATTTAAAAGCATTAACAAATTACTTTCAACATACCATGAATAACTCCTAAAAGTTCTCCTTCTATCCACAGCAATATTACAGATGTGTTAAATATCATTACAGTAATATATGTCTATATTTCAGAACAATTACATTTTACAGCATCCGTGTGAAAACGAATTTGGGGAGAAAAACGAAAGATTCAGAGATTTCAGAGAATTATTTGTGGTTTATATCGTACATTAATTAATATTTTAATTAATGTTAATGTTAATAAATGTTGTCTTTTTTCATTTACTTACAGCGGAATACAAAGGAAACATGAAAATAATGCAGTGGGCTGAAAAGAGCTATTCTATAGATGTATTATTGTTGTTATAGATATTGTCAAATGTAACGTTATTCTCCTGATTCCTGAAAATAGAAAATGAATGAAAATGTACAGCCCATTCAGACAAAATGAGGGATAAGGATTATTTGTAGTGCAATCTTATGATTTGTTGCAGTGTTTTTGAGTGGAACTTCCCCAAACCTGAAGTGCCTCCCATTATTTAAAACACAGTAGGCTCGTTAGGAAAAAGGGGGGATATTGTATAATGCACAGTGTTGGGGAAAGTTACTTTTAAAAGTAATGCATTACAATGTTGCGTTACTCCCTACAAAAAGTAGCCAATTACGTTACTTAGTTACGGAAATGAATGCATTATGTTACTTTTGAGTTACTTTTTAAATCTGGGCAGGGCTTGCTTGTTTGATTTTAATATAAAAAGTTCCTCTTTAACAAATGTAAAAGCCCTTTCACACCAAAAGTGAAATGAATACGCCTCAGGCTGAAATGTAAATTCACGTCTGTACAGTAGAGGGCGCAGCTCAAACTAATCACATGAAGAATATGACTCAGGAGAAGAAAGTTCAACACTATTCAGCAATCTGTGTTTAATTTTTGCTTAGTATGGTTGAAGTGGATCATCGATGGTCAGTAGTTAATAAAATGGGATTAAATACATAAATGATATTTGTCTTATTTAACATATAATTGCAGGTTTGTATAATATTCTGAGTTTGCATTCAACTGTTTTTATTCATTTCGAGGAACACTGAATCTGTTTGTGTGCAGTGAGACGAGTAAACACATGTTGATATTTAGTCTAGAACTACAGTAAGATCATGTTCACACACAACGCTCTGCACTGACTCCTGATTTCTGTCACCATGGCAACACCAGAGCTGTCACTCAACACATGAGAAACAAAGTAACTGGTGTTACGTATTTGAAAAAGTAACTCAGATATTTCCCTCTAAATTAAAAAGTAATGCATTAGTTACTTTAAAAAAGTAATCTGATTACGTAATTCACGTTACTTGTACATTACTTGTGTAATGCATTACTTTTAAAGTAACTTCCCCCAGCACTGACCATCAGCATACGGATTCCAATATAATAATAACTGTGAGCACATCTGTCACACACCTGGAAGTCATTCTGAAGGCCGTACTTGCAGCCACCTTCTTTGCAGATGGAGAAGTCGTATCCCAGCATGCAAGCGGCATCGGTGCAGTTCTCCAGCGAGCCCACTATGGTGTCGTTATCATCGCCTGTGGCATCCCGCACGATACAAGAGCCTAAAAACATGGCAAACCCATAACATCAGCTCTGATCCACGAGTCAAGAACAATCAGAGAAAGAACGACACTCAAGTACCATTCGAGATGGCAACAGCGATGTAAACCACTCCGGTTATGAGGATTGCCAAGAGAGTTCCTTTAGGAATCGCTGACTGCGGATCCTAGAGAGACCAAATCAGCTGTGATGAGATGTGATGACCAACTAAATCCAGCAAAACTCAAATACACTCTTGAAAATAAAGCTTCTTTAATGGCATACATGGTTCCATGAAGAAGGTTCTTTATAGTGGAAAAAGGTTGATGATTCAGAATGTTCTTCACACTAAGGAAAAATGTGACCCTGCAGCTCAAAAGCAGTGTTAAGTCGCTGGGGTATATTTGTAGCAATAGCCAACAATACATTGTATGGGTCAAAATTATCCATTTCTCTTTTATGTCAAAAATCATTAGGATATTAAGTAAAGATCATGTTCCATGAAGATATTTTGTAAATTTCCTACCGTAAATATATCAAAACTTAATTTTTGATTAGTAATATGCATTGCTAAGAACTTCATTTGGACAATTTTAAAGATGATTTTCTCAATATTTAGATTTTTTTGCACCCTCAGATTCCAGATTTTCAAATAGTTGTATCTCAGCCAAATATTGTCCTATCCTAACAAGCCATACATCAATGGAAAGCTTATTATTCAGCTTTTAGATGATGCATAAATCTCAATTTAAAAAAACTGACCCTTATGACTGGTTTTGTGCTCCAGGGTCACATATGTAGAACTGATCACTGAAAGGTTCTTTGGCTAACCAAAAATGGTTCTTTTATGTTATCACTGTAAAAAACACTCTTTATTTTTAAGCGTGAGAGTAAACGATCCTCACCGCCAGGTCTCCTGATATATTGGCTCCTGCTAGGATTCCTGTGGCGGCCGGGAAGAAGATAGCAAAGATGGAGAAGAAGGTTTCATCATCTCTGAAGTCTGGACCCATGTTCTCCATCATTATGGCAGCTTTGAGACAGACAAACACAGGAATGAACTTGTCACTGGATTCGTTCCTCCAGCACTTATCTTAAATAATTATCAATGATCACATGACCTACCGTTATAACCGAAGAAGCCTTGAGGTTCCTTTGACTTCAAGGGGATGAACGATCCAATGAAGTAGTTACAAATAGCTGCCACAAGAATCACCAATAACACAATCTGGGCCTGTCAAAGACATCACGTGACTTACAATATCTGGAGAAATAACACAGACCTGCATCATATCTGCTGAATGAATACTAATTTTGACTGCTGATTCCAAAAATAGTGTCTCTTTTGCTGGAAAGAGTCACACTTTCTCACTAAATATGATGCATTTCTTAGCATTGTTGCTTTTGCAACAATTTATTTGTGAATTTGTCTTGCATTCTTCCTCAATCAGGAGAAAAGCACAACAAATGCATGATTCCTGTCTGAATCCGAGAACCATTACAACTATTTGATCAATTCTCAGCCTATTTTCACATGCATGAAATTATCTTATGAATAATACAGATTTTCACTTTTTCCACTCATTTGCAGATTGTAAGTTAAATGATACATTTTGATTGCTTTTGTTATTTTGATAAGTGCATTAAAGATTGTCATTTTTAAAAATATTCTTATTTTATGAAAAAACACTGCATGATGGAAATTGATATCTTTGAACTCAGCATCGTCAAATTAGGTCATAGGCTTTTTTTGCAAATCAGCAGAATATTTTTTTAACATGCACAGCTATATAATTCTGTATCTACAGACATGTGCATGTAGGAATATACTGACCTTTGCCTCCCACTCCATGCCAGCGAGAGAGATGCCCAGAAGTAAGATGACTGTAAGCGTGCCGACGATCCTGATGTCATTGATCTCATCCGTCATGAGAGCGTCTATACTCTGACAAACACAGAGACAACAGTGTGTTTACATCATAAAACATTATGAATGCATCTATATGGATGATATATGTCAGTCTGTCAGCCTCAAACAACCACAGCAGGCATGCACATCTAAAATAAATTAATTAATTAAGTGCATGACCAAAAACACTAATGCATGAGTCTGATGATGAAACATCAAGTCTGTCATGCTCATTCTTCATCAACATCCTCCATCCAAGGCCTTTGCGTTCATACTCACATCCAGAAGTTCAACGACAGTTTCTGCAAAACCCACAACATACATGGCCACAGCGACAGCATTAGCGAAGGCAAAGATCAGACCGATGGATCCTCCAAACTCTGGACCCAAACTCCTGGAGATCAGGTAATACGCCCCGCCTGAACACATCCAATCACAGACACAAACACTTCACTTTAGACCAAATATAACCAGAAGTTAGAAATAAAAAAGTGAACTCTCAAATATCAACAACAAAAAATATCAGCAATAACATATTGATATTTTTTTTTATATGAATTCATATACACTTTCTTACCATAATATTGACAATTTAACAGACAATATTTTTTACATTTCATGCAAAAAAATTATATAAAATAAATTATAAAATAAACTAAAAATAACTACATTTTATGCAACATTTTTCATCCAAAAAGAAACCAGAAATCACTGCACTTTATACAACATTTGTAATTTGTAACTAAATTAAATAATTGATATGACATATATAAATTATCATATAAAAAGAGTTCTGAGTAGGAGCGCATCAATTACCTAAGCATTATGCATTGAGGCTTACAAATAAAAGTCATCTAATTATCAAACGATTTCATTGTTTATAACAGTGGAAATAAAAGCTTTTATTTAAAACCTTTATTTTAAAAACATTTTCTCTGTCAATCAAACTCAGATATGCTTTTAATGCATGCATATTCAAATCTTTAATACCGCTGATTTTAAGAATATGAACCTTTCTGTTTAAAATAATACTTGATTTAGGGTTATAGGGTTGTAAGTATAATGGAGTTACAGTTATAAATATAATATGTGACCCTGGAGCACAAAACCAGTCATAAGGGTCAATTTTATGAAATTGAGATGTATACATGATCTGAAAGCTGAATAAATAAGCTAAATAGCACAATATTTGGCCGAGATGCAACTATTTGAAAATCTGGAATCTGAGGGTGCAAAAAAAATCTAAATATTGAGAAAATCATCTTTAAAGTTGTCCAAATGACGTTCTTAGCAATGCATATTACTAATCAAAAATTAAGTTTTGATATATTTACGGTAGGAGATTTACAAAATATCTTCATGGAACATGATCTTTACTTAATATCCTAATGATTTTTGGCATAAAAGAGAAATGTATAATTTTGACCCATACAATGTATTGTTGGCTATTGCTACAAATATACCCCAGCGACTTAAGACTGCTTTTGAGCTCCAGGGTCACATATAATAACACACTGACCTCCGCGCACGAAGCCATTGGTGGCGATTGCTGATGTTGAGAGTCCAGTGATAGACGTGACCACGATAGCCGTGAGAACGATGGCGCAGGACAGAGCTGCAGGAACACAACACAATCTGTGACCGGTTACTTGACCTGATCCGGTTCAGTGCTGCTGGTTAGTTATCGTACCGATGCCCGCCTGACCCACGATCCACGACATCCGGATGAACAGCATCACTCCCCAGATGTTCAGCATGCATCGTATCTGCACACAAGCATCATCAGAAACAGCTCTATTAACAGGTATGTTTACGCACACGAGAAATTTGATTTGAGCTTCCAGCGCAGAAGAAAGTACAGACATAGTGCAAACAAACATACATGATAGGAATAACACAGTAGAAATGGAATATAACAGTAATATAAGAAAAACAGAAAATTAAATAATAATGATAATAATGCACTATATACAGACGTAGAAGTGTGAGAAAAAATGTAATTGTTTAAATTAATGTACAGACATATTATGTACAAGTGTGCAGTTTACAAATGTACAAATTCTGAATTCTATAGATATACACACTACCGGTCAAAAGTTTGGGATCAGTGAGACTTGTAATGTTTTTAAAGAAGTCTCTTCTGCTCATCAAGTAACCCAAAAAATACAGAAAAAAACAGTAATCTTGCAAAATGTTATTAGAATATAAAATAATGATTTCTATTTTAATATCCTTTAAAATATAATTTATTTCTGTGATGCAGCGCTGAATTTCCATCATCATTACTCCAGTATAAAGTGTCACATGATCTTCAGAAATCATTCTAATATGCTGATTTATTATTAGAATTATCAATGTTGAGCAGAAGACACTTCTTTAAAAACATTACAAATCGTTCTGATCCCAAACTTTTGACTGGTAGTGTATGTCATTTATGATGGACAATGTATAGTTATGGAAGTTTTAATTGTTCATCAGCACTATGTGTGTGTG